CATATCATTGTGGGAAAATTCTACTACCAGTCCTTTATCACCTTACACGAAATAGAGTGAATACATCTCAAAAACAAATTAGACTGACTGAAGTTTGCATTCTATTATTTGTGGCAGTTTCGAAACGTACCCTTAACGAATATAAGTAATGTTGTCAATTTTAGTTACAAATCCATTTTCGCCTCATTGAAAATCCTGTTGGAAATGTGATTTGCTTAAGGTCTTTCACCCACAAGTGGCCATTTAACGGAGTAGTAAAGTGTAACAGCGTAACTCACTACTTGGTTTCGGATCGGGTTGAAGGGGTAGATAAGACGGAGGGGAAAACTCTTCAAGAGGCAAGGTAAAGTGACATTAAATTACACCATGACGCCTACTCATACGATTGGTGGAACCTTCAATCCCAATTCTTCACATCACCTTTGGCCATAGAAGGTGGTTATCTTTTTATGTATTCACGAAGAAGCCGTATACATTATGAACTGCAAAATTAGATCATTGCAGTCGGCCATCATTTTTAGTTTAAGGTTAGGTGAATTCTTGATTTAGTCATTTCAGGCTCCAACGACGTCTGTCACTCCGACAAGATGTATCGGGGTTGCAAGACGGTTAGTTCAGGATTCGCGGCATAAAAGTGTGTGTATGTATGTGTGTGTGTTTGTGCGCCAGAAATGCAAAAAGAAGGAAGGAAGAGAAAGTAGAAGCACAAAAGGTGATCATTGCAAGTGTTGGTGTTCCGAAGACAGGTCAGGCTATGGTCTTGAAAGGATAAATAGACAACAAATTAGACAAATGTTCTATTTTAGGACTTTGCTCAACCTCGTTCAATTTTGACGAACCCTTTTTTGGTAGCACCATCGTGAAATTGGCTTTCATTACTTTTTTCGACAGGATAGCAATTTAATGCTCCTTTCTCATTTCTGCAGGGGAGGCAACCTACAGCTCATCTCCTACTTGCCAATTCTGCCTGAAGGCCGGCGGCATCTGCATCGCCATGAATGGCCGACTGACGAACTCGTCTCAAGAAAGATTTCCAAAAATTCGCCCCACCGGTCCAGAGACCAGGTACGTCGGTCAGATTGGAGGCATCGCGCCATAACATTGTGTCATCGCATCATGTCATTTTAACGACTATTTTTATTGTATCATTTATCGGGGGGCTACATCAGATTTTCTCGTCTCACCAGCGACATAGCAAGCTCCTCAATTTTTATCACTTCACAAAAATATCTGACCATACCGAACACGACAGAATGCATTCCACGAAAAGTGTCGTTGCTGGTACCAGTTT